CATCGGGGAACCTCTCCGACTGATGGTGTGATCCATACGTCTTCCATCAATCTTGGATCAGAGCGTAGTTCGGTCAGTTTTGTGGGAAGTGGGGCAGGAAGTGGAATCCCCCAAGTGGGGTCGTACAATGACTCCAGTCGTTTACAGTAGGAATTAAATTTTCAGATAGCAGTCATGAGGGCAGGTTGACGCTTAGCTATAGCTTTACGTGTGTGTTGATGTAATTTAGTCCCTGCAAAAAATTAATAAAGCATAATGTGGCGAAAGGGAAGAACTTTACCTAAAGCCTGCTGTGCGCCACCAACTGCTCGGTCAAGCTTGTCCCACTCGAAGAAACTAGCAATGGCGCGCTTACGAACGTTCATCTTGAGATCGCGTGCCATTAGAAGAGTGCGGACAAACTCAAGATTGACATCATGAAGCTCGGGGAACCTCTCATGAACATTGAGTGATGAGTAAAGGGCCTCGACTTTATCCATCAGTTGGTCATGTCCCCTCTCGAGGCTCTCCAGCGCCTCTAATGTGTCGTCAGAGGCAAATTCTTTCTCCAACATGGCTCTCGTAGTCTGTAGTGCTCTATCTGATGCGTCCAGGTCTGCCTGGAGAGCCAATACGGTGTCCAGCTCTTTCTTAAGACGAGCAGGAGCATCTTGCAAGGTCACCTATTAACACTGATCAATTTCTAATAAATCTTACTTACGAGCACGAATAGATAATTGTGATTGACGTTGGTGGGACCACTCAGACTTCAATTCAGCGATGGGAATTCCACATTGTTCTAGCATAGCTTGCACTGCTGAACCTTGCTCTTTGATTCCTCGTCTAAGGCGGTGCTTAATCCAGTCACCGAGATCTGTTTGCATCTCGGATCCTATGGCTGCTGCTTGTCGATCAATAAGCCACAGGCGGTGCTGGCGCTAACGTCTTGTGTGAGTAAGATCGTAATTAAAATGAGGTGGCACACACAGAAGAAGTCCTCTCAACACCGATCAGCTGGACAAAGCGTGACCAAAGTCATTCAGTCCCTTCCCCATCGGACAACCCAAGTCCAAGGCACATTCGCGGATTATAGATGAGCTGGCAAGCCCACTCATGGCCATATGCATGCATTGCTGTGGTTGCGAGACGAAGTCGTTTGGTTACGGTCTCAGGAAGAATATTATACTAGAGAGGTGTGAGTGTGTAAATAGAACATAAGTCTCAGCATACCTTTGCGAGTGATCTGGCCAGAACACACCCAACATCATACAGGGCAACAACGGTAGCCTCCAGTGGGAGAAGTGAAAACAAATGCTGAAGAAGGGCTACAGAATATTTTTGTTGTTCTCCAGGCGAATCAATGTTAGCAAAGAAAAGCAGGATGTCATGACGACAGATCAGCGCCATGATCCCGGTGTCATCAAAATTATCCATTGCAGTTTTCTGTTTTTTGCCGTCAGCAGCCTCGTAAGCAGTCTCGCATTGGTCGACAGCTTCGTCAGGGACAATGGGGGTATGTGCCTTTGGGGGGTGCTTACGTTGGGTGTCTATATGGCGACCAATTTCATCAACAAAGTTTTTCGGGATAAAGTAGGTAGGGTCATAGAATGGAGGACAATCACCAGCAGCGCGGCGATGACGGTGGTGGAAATTCCTGTCTGTTGCAACGTGTACATCGCCTCCTTCATCTGTGGGCCTGCCATGCAGTACGCCCCCAAAGCAGGCGGGACATCGTTGGACCAGAAGTGGCGCGCATCGGCCTGGTGGAGGGAAATTGGTGTCGTGCAAGGAGGCCTGGAATTTCGTTATGTGATCGTGACTTTGTTGGAGAAGCATCTCAAGTTGTCGTTCGACTTGAATTTGCAGGATGTCGAACGACTGAACAGCATAACCGAGACCCCAACGAAATGGGTCTTGAATAAGTTGACCCTTCCAAAGCTTGTCAGTAGTAATTCGAGTATGTAATTGAAACTTACCTGTGTGTCAGTCACCTGGAAGCCCCGACGAGAGTAATGATTTTTCAGCGCTGATGCGAGAGCGTTGTTGAACGTTGGACTAGAAGTCAAGTCTCAGCGTCGTAATAGTAGAACCGCTAATATTGATAGTACCTAGAAGTCAAGTCTACATGTGAAACGGAGTAAGAGATAGACGGCGTGCAAGTAGAAAATGATACATACCTCAGCGTCGTAATAGTAGAACCGCTGAGGTATGAACCGCGTGAAGCTACAGATTATATAGAATGGTATTGAATCCGGAATATCAAAGACGAAAAAGGAAAGCTATCGGAGTGATGATGACGAAGTAGAGCGATGACGACGTTGAATTCAACACACCCCCTCAACGAGACAGCGGTCAAAAATGTCCACTTCGAGAGACGAGGCAAATACCAGAACGGTGATGAAGAAAGGCAGGGTAAGGCAGGACTTTGGTAGAGATGTTTTGACAGAAATAATGGGTCCACCCCCTCAATCGAGACCTTGAAGACCAGCGCGAGGATACGGCCACGTTGGTAGCACAGAGACGTGGAGGGAGAGACAGATGAACCGTGAGACATCCGATGAAGGACTGAAGCCACGGCGCTTGACATCACCAGCCGTTCTGAGTAGCCGCCTTCCAAGCCATGCATTCCGTCGTTGTCGAAGAGAGTGCGCAGGGATTGATGAATAACAGGATGGAAGGAACTTTGACATGAAGGGAGTTGAACATGCCGGAGCGATGCGGCACCAAGAGATGATATGGTGAAAGAATCTTTTGGTGCACTGTCGAACAAAGAGAGGTTGTGAATAACTATGTGTGGTGGAGAAATGATGAGTTGTTTCTTGTGACAAGGTAATGGCACGGGTGATGATGGCGAAGAGGTGGGGAGACTAGTAAAGTGAGGATCCAAGGCATCCGAGGGAAGCGGGGAGTAGCATAAATCTGAAAATGTATCTGCAGCTATAAAGATGATGGGGGTCGTGATCAGTGTCGATGTTACTACCCCCGCAGTGATGGAGGATGAGTTAGGCGACAGCATGGTGGTGAGGTGACTGTGCATGAGAGCCAGACACATAACCCCGGCGATGATAAGGCTAGTGACGACTTGAGATAGGCTAAACTTCGTATTGTGGCCAGGTATGATGGCATCCAGATGAACACTGATAGAGGGGTCTGGATGCAATCCATCTGCGGTGATGCGAGGGTTAAAGTTCGGACGTGTAATGACAATGGGTTGGGGAGTAACGGCGACCTTGAGAGGCATGATAGCAACCAGTAATGGAGTAGAGGATCGGATGGCGGGTGTCTTGCTGCATTGTAAGTGCAGAAGAGATGCAACGGCAGAAGGTAATGGGACAGATGAAGGAGGAGGCGTATGTGCGAATGCTGCAACTTCAAGTTCAGGATTATGAATGAGCGGGGATGAAGACTCAGTGAAAGGAATGAACTCCAAATTGACTGCATAGAGTTTCCCCATCACCGGTATTGCGCCAAGTTCTATACCTTGATAAGCAAGTTCACACCGTGAAGGATTTGCTCGGAAATTAACATCCCACCCCTTCGCATTCATGCGACTGACAGAGACCAGATTGAGAAGTGCTCCTGGTGCGTGTAGACAGTTGGACAGACGGATGCGCAGACGTCGTTTCCCGATAGTGAGCCATGCCACACAATTTCCCCGCCCAGTGGTTGGAAGAATGCCATGATTGGCAGTACGTATGTCAATGGGATTAGTTGTAGAATACGTATGAAAGAAGCGGCGATCCTTTACGAGCGTGGCTGTAGTACCAGAATCGAGAATAGTGGATAGAGAGTGCGGGAGTGTGCAAAATGTGTCGCCAGGGAGCTCTGCAATGGATGCAAAAGACATGTCGTGTAGAAGACTAGCAAGGTCAGCTGCTGTGGCTGCAATACTGACCGAGGAGGGAGCAGTGGCAGGCACCGGCGTTGGAGCAGGAGTGATGGGAGGTGTGCTCTCACTTGCCTTCTTCTGCTGCCAGGGTGCTTGCCCTTCCATTCCACCCCCCTTCCCATAGCAGTGCTCGTGATCATGGTCTCCCTTACTGCAGCCAGGCGTCGTGCAAAATACCCCATCCGGATTATGCCCATGTTTCCGAAGGCCAGTGATAGGATTGATGCTGGGTGCAGTCGTGTTGGCAACTGCATTGGCGTATTCAGACCCGAGACGAGCAGAGTGTACAGCGTGTGCATGCACGTGACGCGCAGCCTCAGCGGTGATACGGGAGACACAGCTCTCGACAGTGAAAGTGGAGGGATTCGTGGCAGTTGCGAGCATGATCTCATCATGCATCCGTTGTTCGAGCATGGACTTGAACTGTTGCCAGATCGGCGTGTGAGGAAGCCCGATGAGCAGGCTGTAGATAGCATCTCCGTCTCGCAAAGGAGCACCGGAGTCGTGGAGTCGTTCACGAAGTACGGCATGTTGTCCGACATAATTCGTTGCATCAGCAGAATCCTTCATACGAAGGGCATCAAGACGTTGACGCAATTGATACTGAGCGCTTGTATCCGTGCGATTGAAGTGTTCTGCAAGAGTTTGCCACGCCTTGCGAGCGGAGACAGTGTGAGAACGTGATACTAGCGATCCGACGGATGAACTGAGACGGCGAGTGATGAGGTCCTTTGCTTTAACGTCGTTTAACAGCCATTCACGCATCGCCGTCAACTCGGCGGGCGTGACATTGACCGGATCAGCAGGGACAGGCATGAAGGACGGCGTTCCGAGAATATCTGCGGGGTCAGCAGTTGCGTTGATATGGCACCAAAGATCCTCGCAAGCTAAAGCATATTGAGTTTTCGTTGACCAACCAACGTAGTTTTCTGAGCCCAGCAATTCCGGAATATGGTCGTACTTTCCCATGGCGATACCGCTGTGGGGGAGGAGTACGATGAGATGTGACGAGTGAGCGGCGGGTCAACGTGAGTGGATTTTTATCCTTGTAGTTCCGTCTGATGGCTCAGTAAGAGCCAGGGCTCATAACCTGTTGAACGTTGGACTAGAAGTCAAGTCTCAGCGTCGTAATAGTAGAACCGCTAATATTGATAGTACCTAGAAGTCAAGTCTACATGTGAAACGGAGTAAGAGATAGACGGCGTGCAAGTAGAAAATGATACATACCTCAGCGTCGTAATAGTAGAACCGCTGAGGTATGAACCGCGTGAAGCTACAGATTATATAGAATGGTATTGAATCCGGAATATCAAAGACGAAAAAGGAAAGCTATCGGAGTGATGACGACGAAGTAGAGCGATGACGACGTTGAATTCAACAAGCGTTAATCGCGTCGCATGAGCGTTCAAACAGTGCACGGTAGAATGAAAGTAAATCAACAGATACAGCCATTCGAGGCTGTGAAGGTGCAGTTGGGAATAGACCATGGTGGAGAAGTACCTGCGGGAGAGTGGAGCATGTACAGCTTAGCACATCTATAGACGCGTATCCTAAGCAAGTATCAGTGCCCGCTTCTGTGATAGAGAAATATAAGCTTACGGTCAAAAAACAAACACATCAAAGTTGCTCGTTTTGGTGTACATGGTAGTGTCCCAGTACATGCAGATATGACTGAATGAGTGGTTTCCAGTGGTTTTCCCTGCGTTCGCCCTAAGTAGAGAAGTAGAGGATCGATGAGAGTTGGGATGAGGTCGCTCCAGTGACTATACAGTAAACTAGCCGATCGGTCTGACACAATCCGTCGTTTGACTGGAGTGTCGATTGCTGAGGTATCGAGAGATGGTTGGTCGAACGTTTCCACATCTTCAAAGTGAAGTGCTGTGGTATCATCATTCTCTATGTGTTGAGGGTGCTTGGCAGTATCATCATGTGATGGATGAGGAGACAACACCTGCGAGCTTTGTTCTTCATACCATGGCTTCATAAGTTCCTTCATTTCAGCCAAAAGTCGGCGGTGTTTCGCCTCTGCGCCTGGTAACTCCACCAATGTTTGAGTCTTCCGTTTATCTCGAGCTTTCCTGGGGCTCACAAAGTGGTGGCCTAGGCCAAAAGTTGCGACTTGAGCTTTACGAGTGGGACGGGGTGTTGAGAAAGACATAGTGGTGGAAAGAAGAGAAGGACATACCACTTGAAAAATCAGAGAGTAGCGGATGCCAAGCTAAGTGCAAGTGAGGCACAAGATGTATCAGAGGTATCGGAGGGTGGTGCAGGAGGTATTGGAGGTATTGGAGGGTGGTGCAGGAGGTATTGGAGGTATTGGAGGGTGGTGCAGGAGGGTGGTGCAAGAGGGACGAGAGGTGCGAGTTATTAATAGATGGTGGGAGGGTATGTCTCAGAGACTAGTTTCCCATAACATATTAACCGGGTCTCTTAGACCCTTTATAGGCACCGAGAAGTGCTGCCTGAGGTGGTCCAGGTTAAGCTCCAAACTGTTTGGTCGAGTTTGATCGTGGACAGCAGCTCGCCCTTCTTCGTGTCCCAGATTTTGATTCCACTTTCTTGATATCCTCCTGTGGCAACCATCAATGCCTCGGGCGAGTAGCTCACCGTGTGTACCGCCTCGTGTCCTGTCTTGATTGGATTCAGACCTTCGACTGGTTCGCTGCTCTTCACATCCCACACTCTTGCCATCCCGTCATGTGATCCGCTCACAACTCGCCCACCATTTGGACTCCAGCATACTGACTGCACAAAAGCAGTGTGTCCTTTCCATTTGACGACAACCTTCCCCGTCTCGACATCCCACAACCTTACTGTCCCGTCCTGGCTTCCGCTGGCAATAGTCTTGCCATTCGGAGACAATGCCATGGTCCTTATTCCTGCCTCATCCCCTTCATCTCGCCACTCGTCACCTATCTGTGCACTGCTCTCTAGGTCCCATAGTCGAAGTGAGCTGTCGAATGAACATGTGATGATGCGCTGCCCACCGGGTAGGTGTGCAACGCCTGTAACTCCCTCAGTATGGCCTCGTATCGTCTTGCAGGGGGTTACTGCTGACGTCTTTTTCACATTAGCAGCAGTAGAAGACATGATCGGTGCTCGGGATCTCGATCAAGGGAATCGTGGACTATATGCGCGAGATCGTTGCTTCAGAATGAGTTGTCCTGTGGGGATATAAATAGTGGGTGGTTTCACTGGCTTATCTGCTTTCACCTGACTTTAACATGTCAATAGAAATGTCTAGATGGATTACTCACGAGAGGTTCTACCCAGGCAAACTCTATCCTGGCTCACAGGACAGTTTTGGGACGACGTATCCAGGAGATATCCCTCGATACTGGCCGGGGAGTGGTCGTATCTTTTCCTCACTTCAGCTTTTTCTACTCCCAACCACAGTATCACTCAGGGCGAAGCCCCACTTGGGACAGGTTCACTCCGCGCAAGAACGAGAGGGGCGGGCTGGTAGCTGAGATAGTGGATGTTTGTTTTTGTGGTCAAGAGGGCTGCGCAAGTGTTGGTATAAGTTGCCTGCCAAGGTTAGTTATCCTTGTGTTCTCTCCACAGCTTCACAGCGCTGTGCACACGAAGCGCCACGTGCATCTTTATTTGGCCTTTCAAATGGTCCGATCCATTTCCGCTTTCTCCAAGTACTATTCACTGGCTAATAGATGCCATCAGCATGTCTTATTTCTGTTTGCCCCATGCTGGCCAATGCCAGGTTACCCCTACTTTTTCACATTCAGAAAGGAGGCGTTGGCTATGCCAAAGGAAGATATAGGTTTTCATGCGAACCGTCGTCGTTAATCAAATTTCTGAAGCTCAGGCCATCCAGCGATCTGTACTTTCCTGGATCGGCAAATATCTTGTCTCCTCGCTGAGAGGGAGGCACACGAGCCCGCGACCACGCGGTTCACCCCACGGCTCACACTTTACGGAAGTTTTGACTAACTCTGTACCACTCTGCTCAGGTCTTCGTCGAAGATATTTTACGACAGATGTGTTTGTGGAAAGTACTTTATCTACCTACTGCATATCATAGTAAAATAGTAATCAACTGACACTAGAAATCGACTATAAAACTACAAAGAGGTTATAAGTAAAGTTAGGGAATAAATTGAGTATGGTACACTATTGCCGCACCTCGTGCGCATGTTGTGCAGCCTATGTATTCTGAACTCCATTCAGAAGGTGATGCCGCGATCTGTTCTGTCCTGTGCTGTCGATTGACGGTCAGTTGTCCCAACTTTCACCCATGCGGTAGGATACTTTTCTCGAAATCAATGTTTATAGACGTAATCCTCATACCTGGGAGCTCACGGTTTATCCATGCAGAAATATGCGCTGGTGTGTCAATACGCGCAGAAACACATCATATTTGGTACAATGATAAGGCAAGTAGAAACAAAGAACTAAAGTGATGAAAAAATAGTTGTCTATGTGGTGGGAGTGGGGTCGTCGGTACCTGGAGACACACAACAGAGAAAAAATACCACACGAACCCATGGTTTAGGGTTCTTGACGCGCCTGGCTATTTCACTAGCAGTGTCGGGCCGACGAGCAACAACTAACACCTGCACAAGAATTGTCGGACACAGGAATTAGGATACATCCAAGACAAACGCACCTCCTTGTCCCGCATTGCGGCAACATCGTCGACATGACGACTGAGATGAGAGGTCTGAAGTTTAATTGCTTCATCGGTGTTGGGTGGAAAACGGAAGAGTGAAGACAGGGGACCAATGAGTGCATCTGAACGTGACCTCCCAGGCGGTTGGGATCGCCAAGGTTCGGTTGCTTCGTTGACGTGGATTCGAGGGCGGGAAAAAAGTTCGGATAAGTCACCAAGGAGCACTCGTAGACTTAATCGCGAAAGTATTGGAGGTTGCGAAGGTTCAGATATCTCATCAGTGTTCGGCAGAGAGCGAAGGAGTGAGGATAGGCGATCGAAGAGCACACGCGGTCGTGACTCCGAAGGCACTGGAGGCTGCTGTGTTTCGGTCGCTTGCTTGGGTTCGGAACGGTGAAGGAGGTAGGGAAAGCGACCAAGCAGTGCAGAAAACCTCAGACGGGCACCAAGTGTTGCGGGGGACTGAGAGTAAAGGGGTCAGGACAAGAACTAATTGGCAGAAATATTGGTGACCCACATGAGCATCGACTTGCGGGCTGTCAAAAAATCCTGGTGGGAGTTCATCTGCCCAGAACTGGCCGAAACCCCGCGTAGCATCAGCCTGGAATATCAACGTCAGTATCATGATCGACGAGGTTGACAAACGCGCCACATACCTCCAAAAACGAATTGTCTTCTACTATGTCCTGCGATGGCTCGGAGAGAGTTAGGAATGAGGTAGAGAGTTAGAGTCAAGTTGGCACTCACATCAGGTATGGACAGGATATCTTCTAGTAGGCCAGCTGTTTTGAGGATGTCTTGGATGTCCCATATGTACGCGTTTTTATCCTCCCAACCTGCAGTAGATAGCAGCGTTCCATCAGCGGAGAAGGCCGCACAAGTGACATAATGATCGTGTTGAAGAGGTAGACCGATTTGGAGGTTTGTGTCAAGATTCCAGAGACGCACTGTATTATCCCAAGATGTACTCGCAAGGAGGCGGTCGTTGGGGAGTAAAGTAAGGGAATAGACAACATATGTATGACCCTCCAGAACAGCGATCTGCTGCCATGCGGTAGTGTCGAATATCGTAATCGAGCCCTTGATCGACCCAGCAATAAGCTTCTTTTCATCCGATGTCCAGATTAAGCTCCAGACGTCATCATCGCCGATATTGATCGATTTGAGCGTGAGCAACTTTTCTAAACCCGTCTTTGCGTCCCAGATTTTGAAACTTTCTTGATATCCTCCTGTGGCAATCATTGATGCCTGGGGCGAGTAGCTCACTGCGTACACATGTTTGTGTCCTGTCTTGATTGGATTCAGACCTTTGACTGGTTCGCTGCTCTCCACATCCCACACTCTTGCCGTCCCGTCGTTTGATCCGCTCACAACTCGCCCACCATTTGGACTCCAGCGCACTGACTGCACAAAAGAAGTGTGTCGTTTCCATTTGACGACAACCTTCCCCGTCTCGACATCCCACAACCTCACTGTCCCGTCATGGCTTCCGCTGGCAATAGTCTTGCCATTCGGAGACAATGTCATGGTCTCTATTCCTGCCTCATCCCCTTGATCTCTCCACTCGCCCCCTATCTGTACACCGCTCTTGAGGTCCCATAGTCGAAGTGAGTTGTCGAGGGAACATGTGATGATGCGCTGCCCACCGGGTAGGTGTGCAACGCCTGTAACTTCCTTGGTATGGCCTCGTATCGTCTTGCAGGGGGTTACTTCTGACGTCTTTTTCTTTTTAGTTGCAGCGGAAGACATCATGGGCGCTCGGGGATCTCAATCAAGGGAATCGTGGAGTATATGTACAATAGCAGCTCGTTGGTTTAGAATGGGTTGTCTTCTGGAGGTCTGAATAGTGGGTGATTCCACTGGCCTATCTACTTTCACCTGAGTTTGGCATGTCAATAGAAGTGCCTGAAGCTATTGTTCACGAGAGCTCCTACCCAGGGGGATTCTATCCTGACTCACAGGACAGCTTGAGGACGACGTGTCCAGGAGATATTCCCCAATACTGGCCGGCGAGTGGTCCTATCTTTCCCTCACTTCAGCTTTTTCTACTCCCAACCAGAGCATCACTCACGGCAAAGTCCCACTTGGAACAATCTGACACAGATTCACTCGACGCAAGAACGAGAGGGGAGAGCTGGTAGCTAAGATAGTGGATGCTTTCTTTGGGGTTGAGGGGGTTGCGCAAGTGTTGGTTTGAGTCACCCGCTAAGGTACGTATTCTATGCAGTGTCCTCGTGTTCTTCCGCAGCTTCACAGTGCTGTGCAGACGAAGCGCCATGGGCGTTACCCCATCTCTATTCGGCCTTTCAAATGGTCCGATCCATCTTCACTTTCTACAAATCTTGTACCATCTATGTCGGACCCTACTTGGAGGGCGGTGTTGCACGCTTCTCTGTATCGCATAGGAGACATCTATGGTGGTGCAATAACGAGTAGCCACATTTATACAGTCATGCACTATACTATCTTGCTCAAAATTCAAGCATACGCGAGTTGCGGATTGTCGTTCTTCTGCAGGGGCCGTTGCTGGTAAATTAGCAAACATACCTATTGCTATGACAAAGGAAGATATAGGTTTTTATGCGAACCATCATCGTTAATCGAACTTTTGACGGACTAGAAGCCCAGGCCATCCAGCGATCGGTAGGATACTTTCCCGGATCCGCGAATATTGTCTCCTCACCGCGAGGGAAGTACACGAACCCGCGACTACGTGGTTCACCCCACGGTTCATATGCTTCACAGAAGGTTTAACTAACTCTATACCACTGTTCAGATCTTCGTCGAAGATATTTTACGACAGATGTGTTTGTGGACAGTACTTTATCTACCTAGTGCATATCATAGTAAAGCGGTAATCAACTGAAACTAGATATAATTACGAAGACTCAAGAGGTTATAGGTAAAGTTAGGAAATAAATCAAGTATGGTACGCTATACATTTGCCTCTGCCGACTTTGCCGAAACAGAACACAATTTACTGGCACTGTCCTGCTCTGGCGTAGCTGCTTGTATTGCGTTGGGTCCTTCTGACGTAGTCCCTGCGAACGCCAGAGTCGTATGTGCTGCTGGAGCATTTCGGGTCGACCAAACATGGGTAACTGCCCTCCCCCGTGCCACGCGTATGATGATGGACAATTGCGTAATGCCCTATTATGATTTTTTGAAAAAGAAGCCAGTGTCAGAGACACAGATAAGTCAGATCTTTACATGCTTACTTGAACTTGGTAAATGGACAGGAAGCATAGCGTGGAGACAGTATCTGAATGCATAGCAAATGCAACTATGAAGATGATGACGTAGACACTGTATATCATGGCGGACTCGACGACCATGAGAATGATTGTATCATAGATGCTAGAGTCATATTCAGCCAACGCCGTCTTCATCTCGCTTCGCATGGAGAGCAGACGTTTCGCCACGAGAATGGTATAAAGCACCGTATTCGCCACTAAGAAGGCGAGATATGCAATTGCGGCGTTGATAGTGTAAAATGGAGCCCCGGTACCCGCCTGGACCAAGATGTCAATGGCTACTGCTGCTCAAGATGTCAGCGACTATGACCGTTTTGTAAATGATCTAACTGCACCAATCATGCCAATATAGACGACTAACATGGGGATCATCACGTGCCTCGCCCAATCCCATAGCACAAAACATCGGTAAAGCTGAGTATTTCAGGGGTCAGGCTTGCACAATACGGCAAACTATTCGGCTTACGAGCAGTGCTTGCATGAACCACTCCGTGACGTAACCACTAGATGAAACCGTCAACGTTGTGTGTAGGTAGTAGATAGGTAAAGGTGCTTGCCAGAGTATCGCCACAAAGTTGATACGGTAGTGCATTGCGTTCTCAATGTGTGCAACGGGACCACCAGGTGCATCGCGAAGGTCTATCCAGATCATCTCCGTATATTTAGTACCGCAAGCGAAGCATACCGTCGAAAGTGCGAACGTGATGAGGGTGTAACAAACAAGCATGCGATGATTGTTTGCAATTTTCTGCCCACGTCGGGGACGTTGCATGAGAGCAGCCACCGCTTGTACAGTAAGGAGAAGGTATACCCCTATCATGGTACAAAGGTCAACTACCGAATCCTCGTGAGTGGGCCGAAAACGCACCGTAGGATACACCTCCCAGAATCATTCCAATAAGACGAGATCGTTCAAGCGGCAAATTTGTCTGTGGTGTATAGGAGGACATGACCGAGAATTGGGAAGACGAGGGGATGCCGGGAAGGTGTATCTTAAATATCTGACACCAGCGGCGGTGAGAACAAACAACAGGGTAGTTTAGCCCTGGAGAAAAAGCAGTCATATACACGGTCTCGAAATACAATTCTCACTCAGGAGAAAGAATGTGTCAACCAGGGACACTGCAACACCGGTAAGTGTAAACCCTTTTACGTGAAGTGATAAAGACGAGTGCGACAGAGGGTCGACACACCAATCATCCACGCCGCAACGTGCCGTTAAAACCTTGACGTGGGATCGAGCGAAGGAATGGACTAACCTCAAGTGTAGCCTCAGACACTGCAACATAAATTACGAACTTCTCATAACTTTGGTGAACTATGAATTAGCTGCTGGTCATGCTCAGATGACACCTGCATATATACCGTTCATTAGATCCTGCTCAAGCCTTTTTCAGACTACATGCACATCGCAATGATATTCAAGCAAACGAATAGATACCCACTCACCCATCCTGCTAAGTACGTATTCGTGCCCTGACAGGAACGAATGACTTCATCTTCATCTAGTCTGCTTTATCATTTGGCAACGCAAGAGCTCTTGACTGCCGGACACTTTACATATGTAACTGACGGCAAAAAGGTTAAATATCGATGCAACTCGCTGGTCACCAAGGAATGGCACCTCGCCGTGTTCTGTAATTGAGGACGTCAGAAGGTAATACAACCCCCGTCATTAGCACGAACGTACTGTTCTCCACATGATGTACTCGCAAGGAGGCGGTCGTTTGGAAATAAAGTGGACTTGATATATTCGTGGATCGTGACCCTTTTTGAAAATGTCATCGGTGGCAGTGTTTGAGTAATATCCCAATCGAGCCATACTCTAAACTCAGGGCAAGCTCCAAACGCCACGGTCATATTGTAGGTAGCATGTAGCAGCTCGAGGCCTATCTTCGCATCCCGGATTAACTGATTCCCTCATTGTATCCTCTTGTCGCAATCATTCTTGTCTCGGGTGAGTAAGTTGGGAATTATACTATATACCCGATGGGAGTAAAAGTTCCCAGGCACGACTGCGACCACGTTCAGTGACCGGCCAGCCAGGAACTATGACCCACCGAGAGGGTAGTTTACGGCCAGGGGAGGGCTAGTGGGGGATAGGAAGCTCCAGATCCTGGATCTGGTGGCTTTTAGCACATCTAGACCCTAAACCCTCTCACCAAGGAACCCTAATCGCCGACTGAAAATTTGGCGTCCACATGCAGAGACGACGCTGAACGAAAGCCGCATGTAGGATGCAGCAGGAACGGAAACCGGAAGGTGAACGGTACGAACATTTACGTTTGAACTTCAACGGATGGGAGATACAGGGCGTTACGTTGAGTATCGAAGGTGCACGGCAGTCCTGCAGTTGATGCTGCAACCTTTGATACTAGTAGCACTGGTCGTCGAGCCTATTTACCCAAGCAACAATTAAGGCTACTTAATTGGAGGAGTTTAAAGAATTCAGATGAGACTGGAATTCGTATGTTGCAGGTGTACAAATGACGTCAACTTTGTGATCAGCATCCATATCCCACAATGACTATGGCGCAGTTCGATTTATCAGGAAAGGACTTGGAGCGCATTATATTGTTGAGAGTGGGGAACTCAGCAGCATGATGTTGTAAGAGATGGAACACGATGGAACAGATATGTTCCAAAAGGAAAATAGTAATCGGCCTCCGGCAGGGGCAGCAGAGCGATGGGCTTGAAGTTTGCGCCCTGGCGAGACGCACGCGGGTGGACGACGTTCCAAGGTCATCATAAGATTATATATTGTAGAAATAATAGATAGAAATCAAGTATGTCACGCTATACATTTGCTTCCGCTGACTTCGCCGAAGCAAAACACGACTCACTGACGATGACCTGCTCTGGCCTAGCTGCTTGTGCCACATTTGTTCCTTCTGCTGGGATTGATACAGTCCCTGCGAATGCTAGAGCCGTAGGTGCTGCTGAAGCATTTCGGGTCGACCAATTACGTGTCATTGCCCTCCCCCGTGCCACACGTATGATGATGAACAACTGCGCAATGCCCTATTTTGAAAGCTAGTATCAGAGACACGGATAACTCAAGTTTGTGGCTCCTTACTTGAACTTGGTTAATAGACAGGAAGCACAGCGTGGAGACAGTGTCTGAATGCATAGAAAATGCCACTATGTAGATGACGACGAAGACACTGTATGCCATGGCGGACTCGACGACCATGCGGATGATGGTATTATAAGTGCTGGGATCATAAGTGCTGCGACCATAATTAGCCAACGCTGTCTTCATCTGGCTTCGCATGGAGAGTAAACGTATCGCCACGAGGATGGTATAAAGTACGGTGTTCGCCACTAGGAAGGCGAGGTATGCAAGCGTGATGTTGATATTGTAAAATAGAGCCCCGGTACCCGCCTGGACTAAGACGACGATGGCCACTGCTGCTCAAGATGTCAGCAACTACGACCGTTTTGTAGTTGATTTAACTGCACCAATCATGCCAATATAGACGACGAACATGGGAATCAACACGTGCCTCGCACAATTCCATATCAGAAAACATCGGTAAACCTGAATATTTCAAGCGTCAGGCTTGTACATACGGCAACCTGTTCGGCTTACGAGCAGTGCTTGCATAAACCACTCCATGATGTAGCCACTAGATAAGACCGTCAACGTTGTGTGTGGATGGATAGGTCAAGGTGCTTACCAGAGTATCGCCACAAAATTGATACGGTAATACATTACGTTCTTGATCAGCGCAACGGGACCCCCAGGTGCATCGCGAAGGTCTATCCAGATCATCACCGTATATTTTGTATTGCAAGCAAAGCTTATCGTCGCAAGCGCGAACGTGATGAGAATGTAACAAAGAAGCATGCGACGATTGTCTGCAATTTTCTGCCCACGTCGGGGACGTTGCATGAGAGCAGTCACCGCTTGTACAGTAAGGAGAAGGTATACGCCTATTGTGGTACAAGGGTCAACCACCAAATCATCGTGTGTAGGCCGAAAACGCACCGTAGGATACACCTCCCAGAATCATTCCAATAAGGCGAGATCGTTCAAGCGGCAAATCGGTCTGTGGTGTATAGGACGACATGACCGAAACTTTGGGAAGATGGGGGATGTTGGGAAGATGTGTCCTAATATCTGTCACTAGCAGTGATGAGAATAACCAGCAGGGTGGTTTAGCCCTGGAGAAACAGTCATATATAGAGTCCCGGGAGAAAGAATGTGACACACTGCGACACCAGTAAGTAGAAACCTTTTACGTGAAGTGATAAAGACGAGGGGGACAGCGGATTGATGCATCAATCATCCACAGTGCAACGTGCCGTGAAAACTTTGACGTGAGATCGAGTGAGAGAATGGACTAACCTCAAGCGTACCTTCAGGCGCTTGCTGAAACATAAGTTTCAAACTTCTCATAGAGTGAGTTATGAATTAGCTGCTCGTCGTGCTTAACCCCAATGACACCTGTCTGTATGCTGTTCATTAGATTCTTCTGGTACCTTTTCCAGACTCGCCCCATGCACATCACAGTATTCAAGCAAACACCCACCTGCTTCAAGTACGTATTCGTGCCTTGGCAGGAACGAATGACATCATCTTCATCTAGTCTGCTTTATCGTTTAGCAGTGCAGCAGCGAATGTCTGTCTAATTACACTTTATCTAACTAGCGGCAAGAAGGTTAAATGTCGATACGGCGCGCTAGTCCCGCAGGAATGACACACCGGGTTCTGAAATTAAGAAAGTCAGGATCGTACGGAGGTAATATAATCCCCGCCATTAGAACGAACGTACTGTCCTCCTCCATAGAGTATACTCAATGTAAGACTTTTTTTACCACAAAAAAATTGTTTCGGTTCGGACGGAACGCCACTGAGCGCCAAGGAGGGAGGAAAGCTTGTTCTGACATAAAATATCCGAAGCGGTGGCACGACATGAACGTTCGGGAAGATCCTGTGGTGCTGAGGCGATGAAGGCTGACAGGTGCGAGTTCATGTCCGTTGTGGCTGAAGACACTTAACGCTGGTAGTCGGAGAATGAACGAATGATATGCGTGGTAATAAAGTCTGTTAAGCTTCTGATAAAGTTCAGGAAACAATATGAACCCACGATGATAAAAGTACTTAGGGTCCAATCTTTGTCTGATAGACCGTAAGATTGACATAGAAGCCCTTTGCTTCCCTGACAGACAAGATCGTAAACTGGTGTAACTTCGGTCCAGAAGCTGACGCCACTCGCACGCTTCACACCGTGATGACGTCTATGCCAAGGGACAATCTCAACAGCTCCTAGGCTGTGGCGATAATGTTGCATGCCCCAGATGGGATTACGACACTACTGTCGTAGAAGTTGTCATCAACCTTCAAACAACTCAAGATGTATGATTTCAATGCAGTTTGTTGTAGCACGTACCTCACCCTAACAGTGACAATGGGAACGTCAAATTATATAGTAACCTGTCACCAGAGTGTGTCTCCTAAGTCGGAATCACGAAATGTGCCAAGTCCTGCGAAAGGCATGTGTGATTGGCATGTCAGCCTGGAGCACACGGTGCACTTGAAAGTTTGGTTGGAATCAATGACTTGTGGTCGAGTAGCTAGGGCTTGTTGCACGCTCGATGTGCCCTTAGAAACGCCAGTGTGGAGCTTGGAACGATAATAAATGTGGCATTGCTACCATCTTAGTCTTGCAAAGAACTAGGACAGTGTTCACGACTCCAAATTACGCATGGACACATGACCTAATCACAAAACTTGCACATTGAGTGCCCTCTATGATAATAGCCTAGTAAAGCACCAAGCAAGAGCGACTATTAACCTACCCAGCTACCGATCCCCACCGATCGAAACCCACCACAAGATTCAAGTGCGTGATTTGGCCCGCAGTGTTGGTTGATGGGCATTCTCTTCCAATTGGTCTTATTATAGGCAAAACATATCCATTGTGTTACTACGAACACCTGGCAACAAAAATACAACATGTGCAGAGTGACAAAGGAGTGTAAGAGTCCGTCAAAGACAGACACGAGGCGTTTCCAAACCAAACGACCAGCTATGCATCAAGCGAAGAGAGAAACAGAAATGAATCTGGGTGTAAATATGTAGTGGTCACAGAACGCAGACAAGATATAAATATTCATAGGCATGTGGGTGGTGTTTCAAGTGGAGAGGATTGGTGTTATTCACTCCACGCGAGTCTCGATCTCTTGAGCCTCGACCTCGGCTACCTTCACCTTCTCGTCGGTGTATTCAGGAGGAGGCACGAAGTGGGTTTCTGCATCATGTTCGAACATGATGTACCCGTGGCTGATCTCCTCCGATCTCTCACCTCTGACAGTGCGATACGCGAGGACAGACATTACCCAGAACATGCGAAGCAAAACACCGATTCCGCAACCTTTCCAAGCACATCAGAGATGATTTAGCGATATAATATAAGTACTCACCAAGAACGAACGCAACAGCGCGACCCTCCCATAAGCCGAGGGCCATAATGGCGCGGTGAACACGCCTGAGGAAAGATCCTGCTTTCTTGTGCTCCATGTCATGGTTATGGTGGTGAGGTTCAACTTCATGGTGGCGATAGATCCGCACCACGGATCCATCAGGAAGAAGCTCCTTGACATCGCCTGCATTTTCCTTCTCAGAGGAACTGGCAGGGACGCTTTGTGTAACAGGTTGTCCGAACAAGGGAATGGGGAGGATATGAAGTTCTTCAGAAACAGGACCGGGGTTGCTGGCGACTTCGCCCTTGAATGAGTCATGATCACCCATCTCGATAAGAGGAAGGCCGAGAGCATGACGGAATGCGTTTGACATGCGAAGTGCCTTCGCTTTCAGGGACGCGCCGCAGAAGTGATGTTTGCCCTTGACTTCGTTGGAAGTGGTCATTGTGAGGCTCGGACGCACCAAGCGGGCGACGTTGTCAGAGTCATCATTGCCATTCACGTTGGCGTTGGCGAGGGCATGGCCGAAGCGAATGTTTGCATTGGCATTTGAGGGGCGCTCAACTAAGACACGGAGGGGCTCCGCACTGACTTGGCTAACTGTAAGGGCGTCAGTAAGACTCATCACATGCTCACTCGAGTGAAACGTACCGATACCAGCCCCTGCAACAAGAACGGGAAGTATTGAGAGGCGCATCGGGCTGACTCTCGGAAAGATTTGGATATCTGAACTGGAAACTGAGGTTATAAAAGAAGGCGTTCACAAAATGAGATTTGTTTGAAGACTATAAAGGAGATGATTCAGCGTGGTAGTGTGGTGTGTGGTGTGTGGTGCAGTGGACTTTCATATTAGAACTCCGCCCTTGGCCAAGCTGTGTCAAGTTTCGGCCTAAACCAATAGACCTTTCCCCTTGATTATGACACACCACGGCCTGCGCCGCAGCATCATTGATATTCAAATGATCTACTTGTCATCACCCGTGTCGTGACCGGTCGTACTACTTTTTTTCTTATGCAGGTTTCCTTTATATCTTATTTTAATCCTTGTTTATTGTCCGTATCCAGGTCATCATAGTAAGTATGCAGGTGCGATTCCCAACCTGTCTTGGTCCTGGAGTGATACCATCCTGAACCGTCCCAGTGACTGACAACAAGAAAGAGTACTGCATGCTATTTATTTTAAGAGCTTGCCATAATTATCTGCAGGTATTCCAACTATGGTACTATGGTATCTCACCGCTAATTCATGCGTTAACAGCTACCTGAGATCGCATATATGTGATACTTATGAGTCCTTGTCTTCGAAATCTTTTGACCATGGCCAACCCTACCCATTTACTGCGTAACTTGATGGTATATCTCCTACATAATATCCCCTTTGGACTCGGACGTAGCTGCCTTGCTCTTGGAAATGTGGAATGTGACTCTACCCGCAGGTTCACCATTCCCAAGCAACTCGAGTCCAACCGCTGTCAGGGTCTGTTAGTCGAGTACAACTCGTTTGAATACCCTCTGACTCACGTGCATTGGAGTTCTCGAGGAGGTCACCAAGACTTTGATTATTCTCCGTCTTCTTGATGACCTTGTAGCTGAAGAAGCAACGGCGAGCGAACACCTCGATTTCAATAGAGGAGGACTCCATGGCATCACTAACTCCCCATCAGTCTTAGCCTACAAGACATTTGCAGGGCATACAAGGTTATACTATCCTTCCAAACAGCAACATACTCGCCATCTTTGGTATACTTGGTAATCTTCGATTGCTTCGTGAATCCGTCTCCCTTTATGCGGATGTAAAATTGTCCACTGAATAACCCGATTTTTTCTGGCAGTCCACTTGCTTTGATGTCTACGACCATACTCGTCAATAGCACCTCAAACCTGCAGCCAACTAAGCGCACCAGTGATCTCGACCGACAACTTGGACGGATGGACAGAGTCATCGTCCAGTGACGATGTCATGTCAGGTACTTCAGTGGTTGGAGAAACGTTCCGAGGTGGAGTTTGGTCTGACATGGCGTCCTGGCAGTATCCCAACTAGCTTGGATGGTAGTGGCAGGCCGTGGGGATTAGGGAGCAGACTTGTTCTCACTGATTTTTATATGATCGCAGTCCGCTTTGTCCTGGCGCAACACGCCCATTCATATCCATTCGGCGACCTCCAGTATGGTATGGCGGCATGCCATTACCGCAAATTGGAAGAGAAGGGCGTTGTGACAGTATGATCACCTCCTGAGGAGTCTATTGTTCGTTCGAAACGATGACTGAGAAGGGAATAGGACCCTTTTAGGATGTCTCATATCCTCAGTTTCTTAATCACTAGTAGAATTTCTACTAAAGGCTGATCACAGAAGACGGACATGGAGGTAGCTCGCCCGACTTGCGAGGTAAAGCACAAACAAGCCTTGAGGCTTTATTGCTGCTTACGCCTGATGGCCAACATATAAGCAGTGCTACTGATCGCCGAGAGGATACGCAAGTCACGACATGACGAACGTTCATGTTCGCTAGATGCTCGTATTTGGATTGCGCCCGCACATGCATAACGCACCCAAGTAATTCGAAGGTTCTTAGCGGCTTGTAGTATGGCTTCTAGGCTCGGTATACGCATGACTGTATCGAAGTAGCTCCCTTTGGTCATGAA